GTGATTATACGAAACAATAGGTAGTAGTGATTATACTCAGTCGAGTGGTCTCACGGCGTGGCGGGAGGGTGCATCGCAATAAAAATGTATAGAGCCGCGCGGGAGGCGCGCTGCCGCGCCGTAGCGTAGCCCTCACTTTGACATCATTACAATTATTGCTGTATTGCCCCACCCTTATCCTTTTCCGCAAAATCGTCAACGTGTACCTATAAATATATACATACAAGTGGATTTCAGGCATCTTGTCGTAGTTTTCGTCTGTCTGTTTTTCTAATTGTAAACTTATGTTAATGTATTACAAGTAATATTAATAACATTTTCTAACAATTAAAAAATAGTATATCGTATACACGTACAAGTTTGTCCTTTAGTAACTCGTATTTTTGTGTAGTAATGTAATAAAAAATTTAATACCCTATAGTCACGAATGCCATCATTTAGTGTCGTGACACTATCGTATATCTTCCGAACAAGTGTCGTTACAGCCTCCCAATGAGAAAGGTTCGTGCTTTGTCAATTTACCTCTTTTGTGATCTAAAGCTTCGGTAGACGCTGACAAAGGATGCCCTAATTCAAATCCTTGTATTGAGATAACGAGATATCCTCCGAAATTGAATCCCCGTGATTTTTTTCTTTCCATTTTGCCACCGAGAAGTTCGATGTTATACCTATACTGGCGTTGAACATTTGTAAATGACAAATATGTAATATTTCTTTTAAATATGTATAAACGTTCTTAGCATTCCAACTTACAAATACTAGCCATGGCTGAGAATTTAGAAATGTTGCACATTTTATTTTTATTTTGTCGTAAATCGTTTGCTGGATCGTGCCCAAGACGACGGAGACTGTATCATCTAAACATCCAATTGGAGCCACGTGGGTGATCGGTTGTTTTCAAATTTGCAATAGAAAAAGCTTGATCACAGCTTTAGTGTAATGCAAAAGGCAAAGATTTTAAAATATTTTTTTTTTTCGAATTTCACCAGATTTAAAAAAGAACTTAACTGCCTTTTACCATAACGTTATATCTTGCCGTGTGATTTCCATATAAGTAATCAAAAAACTGGTAGCATTATGTAATTCGTCGGCAATCGAAAACACGACAGGAACGTTTATGTTGATTGTTTTCGGAAGATTGAGAATCATTCACGTACAACTTGATGAATTTTTCATTTACAAATTTCTCTTTAAAAAAAACTACAATATGAGAGTTCCATATTGAATTACTTTCTTTTGTGTAGGTACTAGTTTGATTTAATAAATGTAAGTATAATTTATACACAGAATATTAAATTGAAAGTCTAAGTCAGATAAGATTTTCAGTTTACTAAAATGATGACAAAATTTCTTGATTAATCAATGATTTGTCATAACTTGAATTTATCACAAGAGATGTCATTTTATGGCAAGGTTAATGACATCATTCGTAAGAGTATGCTTTTTGATTTAATAAATGTAAGTATAATTTATACACACAATATTAAATTGAAAGTATAAGTCAGATAAGATTTTCAGTTACAAAAATGATGACAAAATTTCTTGATTAATCAATATTTTGTCATAACTCGAATTTATCACAAACGATGTCATTTTATGGCAAGGTTAATGACATCATTCGTAAGAGTATGCTTATTTATATATGCAACGAGCAGGAAATTGGCATTTGGCAAAGCTTGTGACGTTAGCTCTACAAATCTGGTACGTTTACTAATCTTAGTCCCTCCCAGATTTACCTTGGGTAATAATTAGCGCAGATACTATCTTAAGTAGCAGAAATTAATTACGAACATGTACTTTTGTTATCACAATATCGGGCGAGGAGTCTAATTGGATTCACACATGAACAGTGTTGGAGAATGCATTGCGCTGACGCTTATTTAAATTACTCTTCTTATGTAATAAGATAGTGGAGAGGCATTTAATATTATAATCACTGCTCTAATATTAAGTATAATAACTATTTTTTCTCAGTAAATGTTAAAAAGTTTCCATTAGAATTTTAATGTTGTTATTAATTGTGCATAATAATACTATTTGGTATATTTTATCGTAGAAAGTCTACTCATTACGTATATACTTTCGAATAGAATTGACGAGTGCGTTGCCATGTCTTCTAATAGTTTTTTTTTATACATTACAAATTAACATCCTTAAAATACCATACTGTGTTGAAATATTTGCATGAAAAAACTAAGGTATGAAAATAACAATAATTGCTCTATAGGGCGGGCGTAAGAAATGTAGTTGTGGTCACGATTGGACCGCGTATCGGAAATTGTACAGCGACGGGATTATTGCAGTAAACTAAATACTGTAACGGTACTCCTCTTTCTAAGCAAATTAGCCATCGTAGTATTATACTAGATTGCATTAATTATAATTCTTAGATACTTAACTTACTCTTAACTTCAGGAAGTCGTATTTCACATTATAGTGTCTTGTCTGCGATAAAATGTTGGTAGAAGAACACTGAAATATTCTATTATTTCTCGGGTATGTTAGTTGCTATAATAACGCAGATACCTCGAGATTTATTTATATTATCGTTTATCGTTCCAAACTGACAATTTTTATAGACTCGTTAAAGCTTCATAGAGAATTTTCGAGTATGATAGATGTCGAGACGAGTCTTATTTGCGTACGCTGTTTGGGTCTACCGGTCTATGTTTGAGCTTATGCCATTGTGACGGTACAGCGGGCGGCTCGTTATAATTCAACAATGCTCTCAAAATGATGTCTGAATAAGTAGATTTTTTTACTATGAATATAAATATGCATGAAAGTAATTAAAAGTTTTATTAATTTTCTATTTTAACATTCAAGATAACGTTAATTGTGTTATATATTTTGATAAACTTATAGCACACGCAACTTTAAATTTTAAATGTTTAATACTTTCTTAAATTTACGCGAATATTTGACATTTTAAATAAAACTATCTTTTAGGATTATTTTGATTTTTGGTTCCCGACGTTCATCGAATGCTTTACAGCAATCATGGTCATAGGAGAGACTAAGGTTATAGACGTCTCAAACATCAAATAAAGGGTAGGCACTGTCTGTAACAAGAATGTGAATGGAACCAATAATCAAAATGAATCCGCGAAATAAACCGAAAAGATAGTTTTATTTAAAATGTATATGTGTATATGTATAAAGAAAATATATCGCATAATGAATGGATTGTTTTAAAGTTTAAACACATTTTTAAAGAATCGCCCCCTTAAAAGATTTATATTTATGTATTACTCATGTAATGTTTCTCGCAGCATCTGCGCGCACATTCTCTGACGATCGACGACGATGTTTTTTCGATTCGTATAACGCATTCACACAATTGAAAATTTATAATTTTTTCGTATGCAAGTTCGTCGACCGTGTAATCTGCACGTATTCGGCGTCTAAATTTTTATATGAGTTGTTAGACATTAGTCAGTTGTGATGTGAGTCTATAAGTCAATGAAAACTTTCTGAAAACAAGTTTTAAAACTTCACTCTTATCTAGATCGAAACCAGCTTCAGGAAAACAACCGAGCCAACTTTCGCTCCTTTTGAAACAAACGAGAATTTTTATTAAGCTTGCCTGTATGTTGTGATTTATATTGCAGGATTAAAAGGCTTTTAAACGTCATGTAAAATGTAACTAACAGGAACAAAATGCATTTTTTTTTAATTTGCCATTTTTTTTTAATATACGTGGTTTCAGATTTATATTTGAGTACACTTGAGTATCAGTAAAGATAATCAAGCCAATTAAAACTGTCAAATCTCTACGATGACTAGATATGTTAGGTACTACATTTATTAATAAATATTGCACGCTTGAGTAATGATCCGTAATTGGAGACAGTATGTATGAATATCGGTGTAAAATAAAGAGTTCGTGACATCCGTCATGTATAACTGTTATTTATCGATGGGTGTGATTTAATTTAGTTTTTTTTATATAAAACTAGCATTGCCCGCGGCTCCGCACACGTTCAGATGACCAAAAACCAAATTCTTAGGTTTTACATATTAGTATACTCTTACAATGCAGTTTTTGTAGTTTTTCTCAGAAATGAGATATTTTGCCGCGGTAAAAAGTGTTCTATACGTTGACCCGAATAACCAGCTGCCATCAAACTAAATTTCATCAAGATTTGTCCAGTGGTTTTCTCGTAATGCGGTAACAGACAGACAGACAGACAGACAAAAATTCTAAAACGATAGATTCGGCCTCTATATCGATAATAATGTCTATTTCAATTAGATTTTCCAAAAAATATTTAATGTACAGATTCGACTTAGTTACAATTTTATTATATGTATAGATTAAATGGCGTCTCTTACTAATGATTTAGGTAGAGTACAAACGGAGATTTAGTAACCAAGTATACGCAACATTATCGTCAATATTGTTGTTAACTATATAGATATTGGGCCTTTCAAGCAGACTACATTGCTAAGTATCTATTGAGTGTACGGCGCGGCGGGCCGATGTTACACCATATGCGCATGCAAATTTAGATTTTTGCAATCGTGAGTCACATTGTTACCGAAATGGTATGGTGGGCTTACGAACAACCGAGGTGAAGCGAGAGCATACGGTACTCATTGGGATTCAGCACGACGTGGACCAAACTTTTCCTTATCCGGTCACTTTGTAATATCTCTATTGTTTGCAAGAATAGTTAATTCATGAATTTAAAGCACCCTCAGTGCTATGTTGATACGATCGACATCGGTAATCGATCAACTCTATCTACAAACAATATTTTGTATTACTATATGTATGTTTTCAGTTTATTTTATGTTGTAGTTTCTTGTTATTTTATGTTTATAAGTTTAAATAATATATATTTTTAAATATTCTTTAATTTATCCTGTTTGATATTTCAATTGTTCCTCTATAATCTCAATAGTTTCATAAAAAATATCGAAATTTAACAATCATTAGTGCTGATTTTTTTCCATTACGACTGGTGTTGGTTGTTTTTGTCCGAATTGCATTGACAATGTTAGTAGACGGGTGTTGCGTCAGATTTACGGTAATTTCACGGCTGGTGCGTTTGGATAGTTCCTTGTGGTGGAAAAGTGAAGTGCGAAGTTTCGGCGAGGCTCAGCGCGGTAGAGCGTGGCTATGCGGGGTCGTCGTCTCCTCGCGGCTTCGCAACGAGTTACCAGTCACCATCGCGCTACGAGATCTCGCGATTCTATGTTGTAGTGGGGACCAAATGCAATATTCACTGTTAAGATAATACTAACTAAACTAGGGTTTCTAAATTATTATTATACACAATTACCTGTTTACCGTTATCCCAGTAAGATAAAACGTTAGAAATTATCATTATGTGGCATGATTGTTCGTGGCAAATAAATGTTAAATACTACTTATAATAATCCATTTAAAGCATACTTTACTTGCAATAGAAAGTATATACTTAGGTATCTAATCATTGTTTTGTTGACCATTAAACTCTTTAGAACAGCAGTACAGAACAGAAGTATGAAATTAATTATTTTGTTATTACATATTTTAATTGAGTAACGACTTTCGCAAATATAAAACATATCAGCTCGGAAGAATTGCTTTATATTGGGTATTTAATAAATTCCTACAATATTATAAAAAATATCGGAAAATATAGGAAAATTGGCGATTGAATTAAACTTCTGTGTATGTAAAATATTAATCAAACAATTTTTACAATTTTTATATGACATCTATTGATCTTAATTCATAGACTTACATCGTATTGTGTAGCTGCGTGCATTAAGATTATATTTTCGTGATATACATCAGGAGTCCCATAGTTTTTTGAATGATCTTTAATTTTTTTGATAAATATACACTCGCACGTACTGAAAGAGTTTATGTAGACTAAGAAATTCTAGGGACCTATTAGTATATATAATATACATATATGTGAAAGACTGGATTTGATTTCTGGAGTTTCTGAGAATGGCCACAGCCGGTAAATGGCAACATCTGGAGGGCGCTGCGCGAGCGTCGGAGGGGAGTGCGGGGTGCTCTCGGGCTCCGGGTTTCAGCGCCACCGCGCGCCAGCCGCCAGTCCCCTATACACCGGCCGTGCGAACGGCCACCGCGGTACGTTTTGAGCTATACTCGTGATTCATATTCATTATCCCTCGTCTCGGCCCTCACAGTGATCCTCCGCCTAGCACCAGCGGCTCTAACTCTCGCCGTTATATACATGTGAGTTTACACTCGTTACTCCGCTCTGTTCATCCCACGCGCCGCGTCTCGTCGCGCCGGCCGGCGTTTTGCTTAACCTATACTTGTGGTGTATTTCTGAAAACAAAGAAACCAGTGATCAGTGTGCGAATAATTGAATTAAAAAAAGAGTAACTGGATATTTAATAGGTAATTGTAATGCTTCAAAAATGCACCACGATATGACATTTTGTGAGAAATAAAATTATAAAATTTATGAACTGTGACGAATGCTAATTCACATTGCAAAGCTTTATACATATAAGTTCGCATAAAAAAAAATTAAATCCTATTAGAGACCGCTATTCTCGTAAGACTAGATATGTCCTACAGTTGTCCTGTCTATCTTTTATTATTTAAACAGCTATGTAAAATTGGCAAAAATAAATCTAATTACTGGTGAGAAACTAGTTAGAATAACTCGATGGGTATTATCCGCGTTCATCTTTCAATTAGATTAATTAAACCGCTGGGCGGGTGATGGTGCGCGATCACGCGAGTGAGCGGCGTTGGCGACGGCGCGGGTGGCGTCCGACCGGGTCTTCGAACCTGCACCGTGGAAATGGGATTACTGCACGATGGCCTTAAATGCCATTTTGTTCTCATTCTAGTCCGTGTAAATTGCAATAGATGAATGTTACGATAGGTTTTTTTACATTCTTCATGAGCATGTCGCGAATCAGATAGAGTTTTATTATAAACCATTTGAATAACAAATGTTGCTGTTGCAGTTAAATCTGGTTTAATTAGGTTCATAAAAACTCTTTTAAAATTATAAACAAGACTAATTATGTATACTTACTAATATTATAAATGTGAAAGTTTGTGAGTATGTATGGATGTTTGTTACTCTTTGATGCCAGAACGGCCGAACTGATCTGGATGAAATTTGGCACAGAAATAGGTTATAGTCTGGAATAACACATAGGCTACTTTTTATCCCGGAAAAATATACGGTTTCCGTGGGATACAGTTGTTTTTGTTTTTCTAGACGCGACTGAAGCGAGGGTGAGCCGCTAGTATTATGTAGATTTTTAAAATGAAATATTTCATTTGTAGATACTTACAAAAAAGTTACATTTACGTTATATTTGCGTCGACGTAATATTTTGTGAGGAGAGTAGGTACCTAATATAGAATTCTTATCCTAACATATTAAGTGATTCTCGTCGGATATTACTTCCTATAGCTTTAAGTACTTGAGCGAAATGAGGTTCGGTCACTAATTATGTACGTATATTTCAAAAAGCACATTTTTTCGTGGTGTGATTAGAAAGCGAGTGAAGATTTTCACATTATAAATATCCTTGGCGAAGTATTACAGGAGTGTCGTGCGCTATGATTTCTAACATTTCTTCTTTCAACGCCATATTTTTCTCATGCTAATTGGTTAAAGCTCACCGTTTTTTTACAATAGTGTCTTTTTTATAATCAAACTTTAAATATCGTACGATAATACCATTCTCTTTTGTCTATCGGGTTTTCATAAGTTCCATGCGTACTTGTTACGGACTATATAATATTTTATGTAGTTTGCATCACCGTTTTCACCTCAAGCTCGCCGTATGCACGGTATAAGCTGTAAGAAATGCACAATCAAGTAGAATTTTGAAAGTTATTTTTCTTTTTCCCTATTGGTTTTGTTATGTGATGAATTGCTGACAATAATGTCTTTTTTACAGTATATATCATTTATTTCACTAAAACGAATAAGATTCTTATTGGAATTGAGAAAATTAAATATAAATCTAGTTTAACCATTGAGTTATTACGAGCTATAATATTTTTAAGTTTTGTCTACAATAACAAATTTCTTATGTAGAACAAATTTCATGCAATAAAATATCCACAATCTTGTTATAATTATTTACACGTTTATTTTATGTCTATTTATATTAAGTACTAGCATTGCCCGCGGCTCTGCCCGCGTTCAGATTACCAAAAACCAAATTCTTAGGTTTTACATATTAGTATACTCTTACAATGCAGTTTTTGTATTTTTTCTCAGAAATGAGATATTTTCCCGCGGTAAAAAGTATCCTTTAGGTATGTTGACACGGATAACCAGCTATCATCACACCAAATTTCATCAAAATCTGTCTAGTGATTTTCTCGTGATGCGGTAACGGACAGACAGACAGACAGAAATTCTAAAAACTAGATTCGGACTCTGTATCGATAATAATGTCTATTTCAATTAGATTTTCCAAAAAATATTTAATGTACAGTTTCGACTTTGTTACAATTTTATTATATGTATAGATTTAAATAATTTCTATGTTTATCTGATTTTTTTTTCGAAACTATGGCAATATAATATATTCTCCCTATTAGCTTGGGGCACCTGTCAATTGAAGCACAAGATAGATTTGTACAAGATACTCGTAGATGTAAAGCGCAGGTCATTGTAACAAATTCTATTGTATTAGCTAGATAAGACAGATGTGTGACACATTAAACTGTCGCAATACAACACAACCTGTACTATTCGTGTTGAGGTTGTTAGTGATCTAAAAGTGTCAATATATTAGGGGGTTTACCAACAATGGTGACATACATACATACATTTTCTTAAGTCACATTTATTTTACTGGACATATTGATTTTTTAATAAATTTTAATACGTTCGATTCTTCTTACCACTTATATATATATATATATATACATACTGAAACCAATAATAATGCATGTATATAAACTACAAATAGCTAAGGATGAGTCGGCGGTATTCGTGTAGGTTACATTTCAAACAAAAATCTCTTAGTCATTGATGAAACTTCGCCTGTCTAAGAATCTTTAAATTTATTAGCAGTGCTACCGAGAAATTTTAACAAAGCACAATGCAACGAAGTTTCTCTCATATCATTCAGCAATCTTGAAATATATAATGTGTATTTAAACTGCACTATCTGCATATAACAACTGTTATAGGCATTGTTTTGGCTATCTCTACGTTCCAATCTAGCGCATTTTAAACGTGGCGTTTGTGTGCCAGATTTCCCAGGTTATTACCGTTTGTAAAGTCATTATATACAGTTGTGGAATAATATTCTGAAGATACAATGATGGAATGAGAGAATACAATTTGGAGGGTATCGGGTGTTGGAGCGCGGGCGCTAGGCGGCCGGCGGCTCCGTTGTGACGAGAAATCACGCCGGTACCGCTACTCACCGCTACGGTACTTAGTTTAAGTCGTCGTTGCTGTTCTCTTAATGCATTTTGTTTTACTACCGCGGTCAATTAATCACTCCAACTGCCTTTCTAAGTATCGTACGTTTAAAATATAAGAAAAAGTAGGTATTTCATAGACACGCTATTATTCAGAAACATTGAAAAATATTTTATTTTGGTTAACAAAGAATGATTTATCCACATACACATTTTACAAGATTGGACAATAATAATTATAAAAACCTTCATAAAGTTAGTCTTTTTATTAGGAATTTGTTCAATCATGTATTATATTTACACCTATTACACGTTGTCCAAGCAAGTAAAAAAAATATAAAAAAACGTCATTAAATGTAATAAATTCTCACAATCAGGTTTGCGCAATACAAATTAAAGGTATTCTGTTATCTGTATGATTTCCAAGTCCGGGAGAGTCTCTCCCGTGACCATGGATGCTGTAAAGCATTCGAAACGTCGGGAAACAAAAATGCAAATAAATGCGCGACAAAATCCGAAAAGATAGTTTTATTTAAAATGTCAAATATTCGCGTAAATCTAAGAAAGTATTATTCCAAGTAGGTATTTAAAAAAAACATAAATCTTGTGATATTCTTATGATATATCACATAAATAGCATACGCTGTAACATGTGGTAACCATATCCTTTAGATAGATGTAAGTTAGTCTCTAAATTTTATTCTTTGATAAGTTTTGTCTTGTTGTGACGGCAATATGACGTCATAGCCAGCTGTAGGGCGGATGACGTCATGTAGACAGGGGCGTCGACCCTCTAGTCGCCCTAAGCGCTCGACGGCCGTTGCGCTGCGCCTTGTTCTAATATCATGAATA